GTCTCGTCTGTCTATCTGGCATCCCATAAAGTATTTGATACAGTGAACTATGGAAAATGAATATTTGAATCTGGGAAAATGGACTTTGCAACACTTGTAAAAATGAGCAAAGGACTTGCTCAAGCAGAGGTAACAAGGCATTTGTTTCAAAAGAGAAACTATTGATCAGGAGGAAGACCACTTGTAGAGTTTCTCAAGAATCAGTCTTGAGTTTATTTCTTAATTATTCTGAGGACCTGGGCTACTGAAATTTTCTGCTGACACAGTTTGGGTGCTATTGTCACTGCACAAACAGGAGGAAATATGAAAAGCTGGAATGAGCAGGTGGGTTTCCAAAAAAGTTAGACATTAAATTCATGATTGCAACGTTCAAGGTCATGTACTCAGGAGCTAATAATTTGTGCAGCATGTCATGAGCTCAATAAATGCAAATAATTGAAGAAATGAGTTTCCTAATCTAACAGTGACAGGACAATCCAGTATGATACATACATAAAGTTGTGGTCACCCAGATTCCAGAAAAGAACAGATGCAAGAGAAGTCTATTAGGACCACTTAGGAAGGGAATTTTTATTTTGTGAGAGGATATTAGAAGAACTGGCTTATTCAGGCTAGTAAAATAAATTTTGATATGTCTGCTGCCTATGAAAACATCGGAGAAATAACCACCAAGGAAGGAAAAAAGCTATTTAAAGATAAAATTAGCAAAAGAATTGACGGTTGTAGAACTTCTACAAATAGATTCAGACTGGCAATCTGAAGACCATTCCAAATGATGAAAAATATGAGACTGTAACTTTGTTTTTCTGTAAGACCAGTGGATGTAAAAAAACCCCAACTGATTTTAAGACGGAATGTGATAAATAAAAAAGTGAAGTGGTGGTGTAAGGGTTTTATCCAGGAGGTCCTGGTAAGTCTTACGTCTTGCAAACAAACAAGCATTCTTCAAACAGAATTGCAAGAAATTGCTCCCTGCCTGCAGATCTCTGTGAACTGTATCCCACTCATCTATATTGTCCTGAGTTTGTTATCAGAATTAAATTAAGTTGTAAAACTCATGGTTTCTTCTCAGTAATTTTCAGACTCTCAGGCACAGCAATTACTGGTAATTGACTGTAGATTCTGTAGTGGGCTTCTGTCAAATTAGAGGGAGATTATATATGACACAAAAAATGTGATGCATCTTCTACTTACTTACTTTCTCATGCTTGCAAGTTGGGACCAACCATATTGTGAACATTGACATATATGTTAGAAACTGTGAAAGGAGAAAAAAGCTTGAAAAGCCATGGTTTCAGAAAGCAGGAAAGTCAAAAAGGGAAGCTGTTCTTGTGTCCATCACTCTGCCTGGGAAGGTTGTTACATGTATCCTAGTTATGCACTGGAGATGAATCATCTGAGCAGAGTTAGACAAGAGGGTGATTAGGATGTTGGTGACAGTAGGTGCCTTGTCTACGTTAGTTCTTCAGCTACTAATGGAACTGAGAGGTTGAAATTTCAGTGCCTGAAATGTTAGCAGGTACATCTGTTGTGGGTTAACACTCATAGACAGCTAAGCCTCACACAGCTTGCTCAGCTCCCTGCAGCTGCTTGTTCAGTCTCCCACAGCAGGATAGGGAAAGAACTGAAAGGACAAAAGTGAGAAAACTCATGCATCAGGATGAAGACAGTTTAAAAAGTGAAGAAAGACAAACAAACAAGCAAATAAACCAAACACACATGAAAGTGATACAAAAGCAATCACTCACCACCAGCTGACCAATGCTCAGCCAGTACCTATGCAATAGCCACCTTGGAAAACTCCTCCCCGTTCCTCTCCTGCTCCCAGCTTTTACTGCTGAATGTGATGTTATATGCTAAATATTCCTTTGGTCAATTTGGGTCCAGCTCGGCCCTGTCCCCTCCCAATCTCTTGCCCTCCCCTAGCTGTCTCACTGAGGCAGCAGAGCGAGAAAGCAGAGTAGGTCTTCACGCTGGGTGTATTATCACCACTGTTTGGTCACAAATCCAAAGCATAGCACCATACAGGCTGCTATGAAGAAAATTAACTCAATTCCAGAGAGACCCAGTGCAATATCCCATTGCTAAAAGAAAAGACAAAACATTCCAGTACTAATGAGTAAGTAGTTCCTTTTTCATTTCAATGGGATTTGTTCTCCTTCACCAAGGGATTAATTGGCTGAGGAATTAATTTGTGATTCTCTGATTCTCTATTTTATTTTAAAGCATTTCTGCTTCAGCGATTATTTTGATGCAATGAGGTGGTAAGCTGCTGTTTATGTTGCTTAGCATGTGATGTAATACCTTCATTTGTCTACATCATGATACTAAACCTGGGGAGGCTTCATCATGGGTAGGCTAAACTTTTATGTGCTTAACAACCCAGAAATAAGACTGTTCACCTAGTTACACCATGAAGTTGCTTCTACTACTGCTCTCTGGCACCAGCCCCAATGGCCCTTGTGGAACAGTAATGTACTGCCAAAACAATGATCATTGTAGTCTTACAGAAAATTTTGCTTTTGCTGTTTTGACTAAAAAGCACTTTGCAGCAAATAGGAAAGACAAGATTACCTTCCTAAAAGAACCACCTCAGTTTCTATTCCTGGCAGAGCTAAAACTGGGAGGAAGCTGAGTAGAAGCTTCTATATATCTTCCTGTTGTAACCCATGGAGATTAATATAACAGAGTTCTTTCCATATACAGCTTGTCTGCCACCTGTGAGAAAGATTTGAGTGGTCCAGCCATCATTTGAAGACAATGTTGTGTCCAAGGGACACTCTGTAAAATGTAAAATGCTGTGTGATTTGGTGGCTACTAGTATTGGTCATCAAACTGCATGCCTGTGCTTCTGAAAACAACAGTTTCTCAGGGGAAAAATTAGGGTCTTTCGATTCCCTATGTTTCTTCTCTGTCTTTTTCTGTGGAAGCACCATCTGGTTTCTGGTAATGATTGTCACACATTGCAAAAGGTGGGCAGCTCTAAAACACCTTTTGTTTTGAAGGGAGTTTAACTAAGCATTAGTGCCTTAAGGATAAGCTCACTATTATGACACTGTTGTGAGCACTTGATGTACTGTACAGAGACTCTCTCCAGTGTCATCCAAATCCCACAAAACACTGCATTGTTTTTAAAAATTTTATTATAAATAGAAGCCTGATCTAATATAAAATTGTGAATCTCATGGATGTCTTCTCTGGGTTTGCCAATATATATTCTGCTTTGAGAACTTGCTGAGACAAGATGCTGTTTTTTCCAGACTTCCAACTGCTGAATTGCATTTAGGCTACTTATTGCTGCTTTTCCTTGGGAATGCTGTACTCTATCACTCGTTAGAGGGTAATATCACAGGAATATCACTGATTAGAGGAGCATATTGGAGAAGATATAACAACCTGAGTGGTGGGAAGGAATGTTATCCAGGGGGACCATGACAGGCTTGAGGAGTGGGCCCATGTGGATCTCACAAAAGTCAACAAGGCCAAGTGCAAGATCCTCCACATGGGTTGGGGCAATTTCCAATATCGTTACAGACTGGGGGAATGAATGGATAGAGAGTGACCTCACAGGGAATGACTTGAAGATACTGGTAGATAAAAAATTGGATATGAGCTGGCAATGCACACTTGCATCTCAGAAAGTCAATTGCATCCTCTGATGCTTCAAAAGAAGTACGGCCAGCACATTGAAGGAAGTGATTCTCTCCTTATGCTCCATGCTTGTGACACCCCACCTGCAGTACTGCATCCAGCTCTGGGGTCCCCAGTACAAGAAAGACACAGACTTGTTAGAGTGGGTCCAGAGGATCACCACAAAAATGATCAGATGACTGGAACAGCTCTCCTCTGAAGAAAGGCTGAGAGATCTGGGTTGTTCAGCCTGGAGAAGAGAAGGCTCCAGGGAGACCTTATTGCAGCTTGTCAATATATAAAAGGGGCTTATGAGAGATGGAGAAAGACTTTTTACCAGGGACTGTAGTGACAGGACAGGGGCGATGTTTTTAAACTGAAAGAAAAAAAGAGTGTAGATTTAGACACTGGAACAGGTTTTCTAGAGAAGCTGTGGATGTCGTATCATGGGAAGTGTTCAAAGTCTGGTCGGACAGGGCTTTGGACTAGACAATCTTTGAAAGTCCCTTCCAACAGAAATAATTTTGTGATTCTGTGATTTTATGATCATTCATGTAATACAACAGTGCAGCTGGCCACAGAATGATCTCATTTTGTTATGTATGTATTTAAGGATCCCTTTGCCACACCTCAGCTATTGGATACATTTAAGTTCCTTACTTCCTTCCCCTTTGACTATGTCACAGTATAATTTGCATTCTTTCAGTATAAAACATTCTGCATTTTTATGATATTTCTAAACCTGTTTTTACTAAAGATTATGTAATATTATAAGTTGAAGAAACAGAAATTATGACGTGACTAAATGTAGCCTAGAATATTATAAGGGCGTTAAAACTAACCTGACAAGGATGATAAATTGCAATAAAGAAAATAATAAAACAAATACACATATCCATCTTTTATAATCAAAAATACACCATGTTGGATACCAAAGACAGAATTCTTGATGTAGGAAGATTAGTAGGAGTGATTATTCCCAATGAACAGGTTCTATAAAAAATATTAAGATGTTTTTCAGTTAGCAGGCAAGTTTTCTAAAGTGGTCAAACCAAAAGCTAACTTCTCTGTTTTCAGCTGAGGTCAATAGGTATCACATTTCTGTTACAATCAAGATCTTTGCAAGTCTTTGCTGCCTCCTCTCAAACTCTCACCAAAACCATTGCTGATTAAGGGAAGTCCGCATGAGTGTAACACAGCACTATTACCTCCCACCCCGTGTTTGTAACCACTGCAGAAAATATTTATTAATGTCTTCTCATCACATCAAGGAGTTTTTTCTTTGCTGAACTGAGTATGCCTTTTATTTTTACTTTCTCTCTTCATGGAATTTTTTTAATGCACTGATTTCAATTATCTTTCCCTCACAGGCTGCTTAAAAAACCTGAAAGTGCTCAATGTGAGTTTCAATAATTTGAAGTCAGTCCCTCCAGAACTGGGGGATTGTGAGAATCTGGAAAAACTGGATTTGTCTGGAAATATGGAAATAACAGAGCTCCCATTTGAAGTAAGACAACAAACTGTGGTTTCTCCATCTTTTTTTTTGGTTTATAAGGTACTTTATAACAGTCTTGACATCTTTTCTTAACAGATTAAATCACATTCCTTGCAGTTTTTAGCAATAAAGTTTTAGTAGTAATCTCACTGAAAATGCCTTAGCAGCAGTTAAACGGGATAAAGCTTCTTTGTTTTGGTTTTCAAGTGACTAAATTTTGCTTGTATTTATTCTGATATATGAAGGAGGACATGATCCCAAAGGGGATTTGGCCAGTGCTGATAAGGAGAAGGCTGCAAATAGCTATTTTCTGTGAAAGTGAAGTGCATCTTGATGGTCAAAATCACATACTAACCTTCATTTGTTTCCGGTGTCTGTTTGCCTTTTAAAAAGAGTATGGAGAGTTACATAAACAGCACTGCATATTGCTATGAGCATAGACATCTTTCTGAAAGGAAAGATGAGGCACGTGTGAGGCATGGTATGAATAAAGACTGAAATGAGAAAAGGACTCCCAGGCATGCACCAACATTGTTTCTTGTGTTGGATATATAACTGCTCTATGCCACAGCTGCTCTGAGAGTTACTGTTCACAGAGAAATGAGACCATTGGCTGATACCTATCCACAGTTTCAGATGTCATCTGTATTTCTCAGGTTCTTAATATCCTGATTCCTGGAGGATGAGTAGGGGGAGTTTTAAGGAGAAGTGTCAGGCTCTTCTTTACTGATTCCTACTTTTTCTCTAAACATGTTACTGACTAGGGATTTACACGCAATGTTGGAGTGGATTAAACTTACATGAGATCTGGTTTGGCCATGCTTATGTTCTCTTCTGAGGAAATGCAAACAGTAATTGACTTTCCCTCCTGATTTTTCACTGTAAGGTAGTTTATCTGAATCACAGAATCACAGAATGGCAAGGGTTGGAAGGGACCTCGGGAGACCATCTAGTCCAACCCTCCTGCTAAAGCAGGTTCACCTAGAGCAGATTACACAGGACATCATTCAGGCAGGCTTTGAATATGTCCAGAGAAGGAGACTCCACAACCCCCCTGGGCACCCTGTTCCAGTGCTCTGTCACCCTCAAACTAAAGAAGATCTTTCTTATATGAAATTAATTGTTAAAAATAATATGAAGGAAACAGAAGCATAGGGTGGACATTAGCTTCACATCATAAGTGGACACTGCATAGAAATGCTAGCAACAGCACAAACAGTGCAGGTCTCCTCTCTCCTTCCTCTCCTTCCCCTTTAGATAGCAAAGATGGGGGCAAACCAGATAAAAATTAACTGGTAAAAAGGAACCGTAACAGAATCAGAAAAAACATATATCCTGAAAAGGCAAAGGAATTAATTATAAGCATCTAGGAAAAGTGAGAATATTCAAACATGTGGGCTAGAACAGTGAATTTAGCCCAAATCATTGGTGTATTAAAATCAATTAGTATTTTCCCAGTTGCTTCTAAAGACCTTGTAGTGCAAATGCTTACCTGTGTCTATGCATTATGGGTAGCCTTTGTATGTAAAACTAATTGTGCATTCAAGTTTTTCCAGGACTGAGTCATAAGAGACGAGCGTTTCTCTGGGAAAGCTCAAAATTGTTCTTCCTTTCTGGCAGTCACCTCTTCAATGGGATTGAAAGCCACTAAAACTGAATGTAGGCTACTGGGTAATGGTTCACTTACAATCCATGGAAAAAATTTGGAGCTGTGAAAATCACTTCATGTAACAGCAAAAACTGGAAGCAACATCATGTCAGCATGGTCTAAAAGGCCAAGAAGAAAAATATTCTTTATCTGTTGTGTTTACTTGTTTCTCTGGAGGCCAGCACTTAATTTACACTTGCAGTGGCCTGGGAGGTAGACTACACAAACTCCTCTGACTTAGTTTATAAAATTAGTTACCTAGAATCAACATTTCAAGGACAGCTTTAGAAGCTGAACACACAATTAAAGGCACACTCTTGTCAAACAATTTTAAATGCTGCGAAGTGTTTGGTCTTTGGTTGGCTGATTTTATTCAGAGCCACAGCATCAGTATCCTTGCAAATGTAATGGTAATGATTCTCAGATGGGCAAAGGGTGGTAGTCACTGGCAGGGAATTATTTAATGAATTTAAATATTGAATTAGTCTAAACAGTGTAGAAAGGGAAAACAGAAAGACACTGTGAAGTGTCCTCCTCCTCCTAAGGCCTTCTGCTCTTTCTCACTCTTTTTCTTCTGGCATTTTCCCCCCTTTCTTAAATAAGTTTTTAGAGTGGCACCACACACATGGCTGAGGGGCTCAGCTGTGTCCTATGGTGGGTCCGTTGGGGCCGGCTGGAACTGGCTGTGTCCAGCATGGGGCAGCCTGTGCTCTCTTCCCACAGAAGCCACCCTGCAGCCCCCATGCTGCCAGCACCTTGCCATGCACACTCAATACAAGTATTTATGACCCCGTTAGACAGATTAGATCAATTATTACCTAATAAAATTGTTGCTAACCTCTATTAATCCAGTGAAATGCTCATAAAGGTTGTTTATCTTTCTCTCCTGTGGTGTGAGTACTGGGAACTGGAAAGTGTAAATGAGCAAGTATGCGCAACTCTGTTTTGGTAGGTGAATGAGTTCCCTTTACAACATTAGGAAAAAAAGAGAAAACTTGGCAACCAGTACACAAAAAAGCGTAGAGAGTTGCTAAAAATGTTTCCTGTTCATCGTCTCTTAGGGAGTTCAATTTTTATTTGACTTTCAAATCATTAAAAGTTTCTTTTGGGAAGGCAGAGAGACAGCGACAGTATTCTCCGGTGTGAGAACAGCAACAGTATTCTCCAGTCTAAAACTTATTTGAAAGAAATAGAGGCAAACTTCAGCCCAGCAGAAATGATGAAAGTCTAATTTTACCGTGGTTTTGTAATGGCCAGAGAGACACTGATAACATATATGAAAATGGATTCAAAGAGATTGATAACATGCCTGTAATTCAGTCAAGAATTTTTGACAGACCTATAAAGGTTTATGAGATCATCAGAACTCTGAGACTGAATTACATCTTCAGTAATCAGTCTCCCTGTTCCCTTTCTATCCATTTTCTTTATGACACGTGCAAAAAGAGAAGTCTTGAAGATTTTCAGTGATGTGCCTTGTGCCATAGCATCAGAGGCAAGCACACTGCTCACTTGTATGTTCAATTCTTGTAGAAAGCTCTTTTCCTATTTTCAAAGGCCACTTCCAGCACCTGTAAGTCATCTTGTTGAGTCTTAAAATGAGGTAATCTGATGCTCCATTAAAAAAATTGAGGGTGTGTGCTCTCATCTTTTGCTTTCTCAAGGCTTAGGGTTTCATACTGTTCCACAATATGCCTAAGGAAGAGCAAGCTGGTTTAATGTCTGCTTTTCAGTTTATTTTTCCCTCTTCTACTGTTGGCTGTCTAACATTTTTAGATTTTAAAAAGTTCCATTTAACTTCAATATTAGATTAGTATCAGTTGCAAAGTCAGTTCTTTGCCACAAAAAGTTTATGGTTCTGCAGCTGAATTCAAACTGGTCTTGACCACATTTGCAAATTAAGAATACTTTTCTCTGGACATGAGTGAAAATATAAATTGAAATCAGATGTACATGTTAGAAAAGGCAACCTACATGGCATTACATTTATGCAGCCAGTTTGTAACAGATACTTCTAGACTTCAGTACCCAGGCTCAGCAGGGGAAGATGCACAATGAAGTTTAGGGCACAATCTTCCCTGAGATGACACATAGCTGATAAGGCTCCTCTGTGGAGGTGAATTTATTCCTCTAGCTAAGATGCCTGGGAGATGCATGACCTGTATGTTAACCAGTCCCTCTCCTAGCATAGTGGGATTATACTGGGTACCATAAACTGTAGCTGCAGGGAGAAGGGGAGGTATGGATGGATTTGTTTCTAAATGTCTTGTACTTTCTCTGTGTGAACTTAAGATTAGTATTTGTATTTTAACTGTTGGATAGAGTGCCCATTGTTATTTTCATACACGTTATGCAACTAGTTTGTTTTTCTAGGAATAAAACCAGTATTGTCAATGTGTTTTCTGATATAGGTTTGTAGAAAAACTGCTCTGACCTAATTTTGAGGTGTGCTTCCTTCAGAAAGTATTGCTTTCTGCTGTTATTTACTGAACCACCCAATTAACATTTCCTGTGCATGGCAGAATACTTGCTTTGTGCTGATATTTCAGAAACAGCTTTGCTATGTTGAAGGCCCAGTTCTTCTTCCATACTATAAAATTCTGTTAATAATGCTACACCAGCCAAGAGTACCTATATACATGACCCAAAGGAACTTTAATGAGAAGAAAGGGCAGATGAAGAAATTCTGATTTGCTCCATCTGTACCATCTGGTATGGTACATACTGTCAGTCACAGGACAGGCAAGTCACTCCACACTACCAGCAACAAGAGAGAAATGTTTACAGATAGATGTTCTGATATTGAAAACAAATTAAAAGGGGGCTTTGTGAAGTCACTCTGCTTTCAACAGTGTTCAGTGCTACATGTGAGCAGTTCCAGCAAGTGATCTGAAATATTTTCTGTATCCTTTTGTGAGGTCTGGGTAGTGCAAAGCGAAGGAATGAGACACAGACTGTTACAGCATACGAATACTTTGTCAAAGAAAGAGCATACATATGTATGTCAGTCCTGTATAAACTGATCTTTGAAGTTCAGAGAAATGGCAAGGTTATGCTTTCTGGCTGTTTTAGCATGCTGTTTTTTGAACAGATTAAATAAACTCCTGTTTTGTATTTCTGATGCACAGAAGGTTTCAGTTAAGTCCTGATATGAGCAAGTACACATGTGGGGAGCTTTCAAAATCACAGGGTAATAGTACAGTTTGGGTTGGAAGGGACCATTAAAGGTCATCTAGTCCAGCTCTCCTGCAATGAGCAGGGACATCTTTCACTAGATAAGGTTGCTCAGAGCCCCATCCAAGCTGACGTTGAATGTTTCCAGGGTTGGGGCATCTACCACCTCTCTGGGCAACCTCTTTCAGTG